CTCTTAAATTTCGGATGTAAGATAATTTTTATGTGCTCTACCAATTTAAGAGGATTTTAGAGAGCCAAATCCAGGCCTGGGTAGTGCTTCTGTTTTGACGTGCCGCAAGAGAAATTGGCTTCAGCTAATCAGAAATAATACCCAGATCTGGGTAGTGACAAGCCATCAGTATGAAATTTCTGCCGTCGTCCCTCAGACGTCATTTCGCCGGAAAACCAGTGCAGTTGTGGCCTCGCAAAATTAAATGTCGGCTAAATTTTCTTAGGCTTTAAAAATAGCCGCCATACAGGCAAACTATTCATTGGCTCCTATAAGATCGTTGAGAAGGACGTGCTCAACAAGGAGCGTCAAGTCTCCTCCAAGCACTGAGTAGACTTACAATGGTTTACAGTCGGAAACAGCACAACTGGGCACATGGAATGGTTCGAGCAACCGGGTTTTTGTTGAATAGAAATGCTACGCCACAACGAGTGAAGTGGAGAAAACCGTAAAGTAAGCCTTATTTTTAGCCAGTAATCATGATTTTTGACCAGAAAATGACTCACTGCATGATATTCCTCGATACTAAAAGTAGTCTCAATGTTTTAGAAAATGTTGGCAAATAGATAGATTGTCAACTGCGATGAAATATATTTGGGGTTTGTTCGTTAACTGCCCTTAGAAACAGAAGAGCCCCCAGAGATTTTTACAGACTTAGTAACTAGAATATCTGTGTAAACTGCCTGCTTAGTTTTAGCGCTGGAACTGATGTACTTTTGGAGAAATTCAAGGAAAGAATAACCATATTTTAGCCATCAACTCAAATGGCCGAAACTCTATGTAGTTGATTAACCGTTTATGCCTCGCAAATTTGATATAACAGGAACGCGCTTACAGCGGCATACACTGCATGTCTCGCCTGCTTGGAGATTAGATCGAGAAATGAGGAGGTGATTAATTCTACAAGAAACATGACTTACTCGCTAAGGTTTTTTCAGGTTTTTTACTTCAGACTTTATCGACGTCGAAACTTTTTGTTTCTGAATTGATTTAGTACGCGTGTTAGCGACGACCTAAAATACCTCTCCGGTAGCAGGCTATACGCGTAGCTACGCGTGCATAAATAGACGAAAATTCAAGGGCCTAGATTCCAGAGAAATTGCATGATTGCCAGATATCTCTGGCCAGATATCGCAAAAGTGATTTACAAGGCACGTCATTTCAATCATCGCCGAAAATAAATCGCATGCTCATCACAAGACTCATTTGCATGCAGTGAAAGTTTACAACACCCGACCATCGCAACTTTGCTAATTAAGATTCTTATTTTTTTTCGACCACTCAGACTCAGTAGTGTTCACTTGCTCTAAAGTAATCAACGCTTTTAAGCGATAGAATTCGTGGACCGACACGTTTCGGAAAAGCTCTAAATTTAATCTTTCCTAAGCTTTCTTCGCAAAACATGCGTGGCTTCGATCACGCAACGATTCTTAGTTCTAGTGTCCACGGTCTCCGCAAGGAACGCCTGGCACAATGACCTGCCTTTTGTGCCCTAAATTACGACCAAAAATTCCGGGTGGGGGGGGGGGG